TCTCTCTCTCTCTCTCTCTCTTCTCTCTCTCTCTCTCTCACACACACACACACACGTATACATACACATATATATTATTTTATGCTCGTTTCAATTCATTGATTTTGATTGTAAAGATACTTGCTGCAGTGCGTACTATCATGTTTGGATTTCACAAGGTTGTTTTTCTTTTGCATCCCAGGGTAAGCTTCACTATTCTTAGAAGCTGTTCGTACAATATATGACAACAGTTTTTGCCAATTCATGGTTAAAATTCTCTGTGTGCTTTTTTACTTCCACCTAAATCTTGGTTCTGCTCGAAGCTTCTCAGTGTCAGCCTGGTGTAAGGATCTTTCAGTTTCAAAATGATGAAGAATAGGCGCATCACCAGGCAATGTTAGGAATTACAAAAGACAGAACATTTGGGCCAGAAATTACTGTCATATTTTTAATTACCTTCACCTTCTTGCCTAATTTTTCTTCTTTGGATCTTCATCACTTTACGATTACTTTTCTTAGTCAATGGAATGGGCAACGTCATAGGGAGTTGATCAATTATGTTCATATTACCGTTGACTGTTTGGGCCTGGTGAGATTTCATTGTGCTCCCATATGTTTTTATTGTCTGTGGTTGTTACTTCTAGGATATTAATACACGAAATTGTTACATCCAGGATATTAATACAAATTTCCTGGGTCATTTTTAAGACTCTTCTAATCATCAGACTGTTTATGGATCTCCTGGTGAAATGGCTTTTTGATTTTCTTTTACTTGTATCATTACTTCTGTTGCGATAAATATTTGTTAACTTTTGAAATGATGCTCACAAAAATACTCATCATACACGAGTTACATTTTTACTTCGTAATAATTTCTTCAGTCCTATTTAAAGTCTTATTTAAATTATTCAAATTTAAATTGTACTTCTAATGAACCAGAACATGAGTTGTAATATGCACAATTTTAACAGTAGGACAAGTGTCGTAGTTCTGCATTATAGTTTTTCGGGCATAAAGTGGTTTACCTGTGGTTAAAAAATGAACTATTTTGTATCATTATATGGTGAATACTACTGAACATAACTTAAATTCCTTTTCTGTTGTATAGCTGCTGACATGGCAGATTTGTTAGCATTTTATTCTTTCCGTTTCTTCTGTACAGCTTTAATTTTGTTAGTTAGTTAGAGCTACACCCTATAGATATACTTGTAAAGATTGATCAGAAAGTGTGGAGAAAATTTACCATCACGAATTCTCTTGCTTCAACAATTCTGTTTTTCAGATTTTGTTATGGTATCAAAGCGTATCTATCTCTCTCTTCCAATCATGGCCACCAATCATCAAGCCGCCTCTGAGATTCACGCAGGTTCTGCAGTTCCGGGAGATGTTCAACATCCCATCTCCAGCTCGCAATCACCAATTTCATTAGAGAATCCTGCTGGTGATCCTGCCATTGATTCCAAGTCGTGGATGATCCTAGCATGTTCTGCTTACGCATACACCAAGAGCACTTGGATAATCGATACTGGTGCCACAGACCACATTGTTTGTTCTGTCCAACAACTTACCACCATCATAGCTACCATTAATGGGAATGTCAAGTTGTCTAATGGTCATGTTGCAGCGGTTACACATATAGGGATAGTTCAGCTTTCAAGTGATCTTACTTTGACAAATGTTCTCTATGTTCCATGTTTTACTTTTAATCTCATATCTGCCAGTAAGTTGGTCTTAGTTCTCCATTGTTGTTTGATCTTCATATTTGCTTATTGTTTCATTCAGGACCTTTTATCTTGGAAGACGATTGGGATAGGGAAAATTGATGGTGGCCTCTACCACTTACAGCTTCAACCATCTCAACTACAACATCACACTTCACTGTCCAATACATTTGAACCTATTGCCAATACTGCTTACAGTCATTCCTTTGATCTTTGGCATAGTAGATTAGGTCATGTTCCTATCTCTAGAATCTCTATTAACAATAAAACTGTACCAGAAGTACTTAGTGAATCGAACTTTCGTTTTACTGTCTGTACACTTGCTAAACAGCATGTATTACCTTTTCCTATTAGTACACATGTATCCAGCAGTATCTTTGAACTAATTCATGTTGACATATGGGGACCTTTTCACTATCCTTCTATTGATGGTTCCAAGTACTTTGTTACTATTGTAGATGATTATAGTAGGACTACATGGACATTCCTCATTAACAACAAATCTCAAACCAAGAACATCATCGCATCCTTCTATAATCTGATCCTCACACAATTCAACACCAAAATAAGAAAGATTAGATCAGATAATGGACCAAAATTCCATTTGGCAGACTTTTACCAATCCAAAGGCATCATTCACCAACTCAGTTGTGTTGAAACCCCACAGCAAAATGGGGTGGTTGAACGAAAACACCAACATCTTCTTAATGTAGCCAGATCTTTGATGTTTCAAGCCAATCTTCCAAATCAGTTTTGGGGTGACTCCATTCTCACAGCCACGTACCTTATAAACAGAATCCCTTCATCCAAACTCTCTGAAAAGACACCTTACGAGCTTCTCCTTAACACAAAACCATCATATTCCCACTTAAGAGTATTTGGATGCTTATGCTATGCATCTACGCTTAGAAGAAACAGGTCAAAATTTGACCCTAGAGCTGATGCATGTTTTTTTCTTGGCTACCCCAATGGAATGAAACGTTATAAACTCTTCAACCTAACCACTCAAAAATACATCATCTCAAGGAATGTGGTCTTTCATGAATTTGTCTTTCCTTTTCAAGGCATACCACCTCAAATTACCACCACCAAAATTCACTCGCTTCTCTTTCTAGATAACAATACTTCATCTCATTATTCTCCCGCACCTGCAAGATCAAACTTTTCTCCTTCTCCAGCTCTCACTTTAGATTCTTCACCTGCACGCTCACCAACATTATCTCCAATGAGTTCTACATTACCATCACATCCTACTTCTCTTCATCACTCCACCAACCTGCCTCCGCTTCAAGTTAGAAGATCAGCAAGGATTCATAGACCACCTTCATACCTTGAACAATATCACTACAATTTGGCCAAATGCAATGATTCCCAAATCCAATCTGATTCCAAGATGATTGTCACACCTGAAACAGGTAAGCAATATGACATTTCAGCATATGTTGGTTATGACCATTTGTCATCTGCTCACAAGGCTTATGTATTGCCCATATCATCATCTTATGAGCCTACATCCTATCATCAAGCCTCCAAGTGTCCAGATTGGTGTACAGCAATGGATGCCGAGCTCCAAGCCTTGGTTGCTAACAATACTTGGACTCTAACAACTTTGCCCCCACACAAGACCCTTGTTGACTGTAAATGGGTCTATAAAATTAAATACAAGGCACATGGTAGTGAAGAAAGAAAGAAAGCACGACTTGTTGCCAAAGGCTTTATACAACAAGCCGGGTTGGACTATCAAGATACTTTCTCTCCTGTGGCTAAGTTGGTCACAGTTAAAGCACTTTTAGCAGTAGCTTCAACACAGCAATGGTATCTGTTCCAACTTGATGTGAATAATGCTTTTCTTCATGAAGATTTGGAAGAGGAGGTGTATATGCGCATGCTTCCAGGGTATGAGCAGCAGGGGGCAAATGGTGTTAAACTTGTATGCAAGCTCAATAAGTCCATTTATGACCTTAAACAAGCCTCAAGGCAATGGTTCAACAAACTATCCAGTTTCATCGTCTCTCAAGATTTTGCTCAATCATAGTCAGATAACTCATTGTTTACCAAAATCAATGGTTGCCCATCTACCATCTTACGAGTCTATGTTGATGACATCATCATTGCTGGAAATGATTTGATGTACATTGATCAGTTTAAGAAGGTTTTGGACCAACAGTTTAAGCTAAAGGACCTTGGAACTTTGAAGTATTTCTTAGGTCTTGAAGTGGCTAGAAATAACACTGGGATCTCCATTTGCCAAAGGAAATATGCTTTGGAAGTTTTGGAAGATGTGGGATATTTGGGTGCTAAACCCGCCAAAATACCTTTGCAGCAAAATTTGAAACTTTCTAAATCAGATGGTGACTTGATCACTGATCCCAACACCTACAGAAGACTTGTAGGCAGATTACTTTACCTTACCATCACCAGACCAGATCTCACTTATCCGGTTCAGATCCTCAGTCAATTTGTTGACTCACCTAGACAACCACATCTTAATGCAGCCTTACATGTACTAAGATATCTTAAGGGGACTGTAGGACAAGGTCTGTTCTTTGAAAAGGATTCAGAGGTGCAACTTAAAGGGTTCTGTGATGCAAACTGCGCTGCATGCTCAGATACCCGAAGGTCCATCATGGGGTATTGTATATTTTTGGGAAATTCATTAATTTTATGGCGATCAAAGAAGCAAAGCACCGTGTCCAGGTCCTTTGCAGAAGCTGAATACTGAGCTATGGCTTTAGTAGTATGCGAATTAACATGGCTGCAATACATACTTGCTGATTTGGGGATTAAACACAAGGATCTAGCATTATTATTCCGTGACAATCAAGCAGCCATACATATTGCAGCAAATCAGGTTTATCATGAAAGAACAAAACATATCGAACTGGATTGTCACGTGGTCAGAGAGAAAATACAAGAGGGTAAGATCAGAACTATGCATCTAAGTACTAAGGATCAACTTGCAGACATGTTAACTAAATCTATTGAAGCAAGATGGGAGTTCATAATCTTCACCTTCCATCTTGAGGAGGCGTATTGAATATAACTTAAATTCCTTTTCTGTTGTATAGCTGCTGACATGGCAGATTTGTTAGCATTTTATTCTTTCTGTTTCTTCTGTACAGCTTTAATTTTGTTAGTTAGTTAGAGCTACACCCTATATATATACTTGTAAAGATTGATCAGAAAGTGTGGAGAAAATTTACCATCACGCATTCTCTTGCTTCAACAATTCTGTTTTTCAGATTTTGTTAAATACCATGCTTAGATGCTAGTCAGTGTAATCAACTTCAGTTTATTTTAAATCAGGTGCTGACTTTGTTACTGTTGGATCTTCCTGGACTTCTGTTTTTCTCTACATACACACTTCTTGTCCTTTTTTGGGCTGAGATATATCACCAGGTAAGTAGCTCGTCCTTATCCTTGTGTAAATATCTTGCAAATGAAATATAAATCCTTGTGAATGCAGTTAGAGGTATTTCAAACTTCTAGAAAAAATACCTCACCAAGCCAAGCATGCAGTCTTGTGAATGTAGTCATGTCGCACGAGCTATCTCCAACTCACTCATCCTTATTATTGGGCAGGCTAGAAGTTTACCAACAGATAAACTTAGAATTTGGTACTTTTCAATCAATGGTGGAATATACTTCATACAAGTTTATTGCATTTCCTCCTATACCACATATTTATATTATCTTTTGGCTTCTGGTTGTGTGTCTTTGTACTAGTTTTTTTAATGTATGATCGTGTTAATAGTGTAAAAGATATCATCTGATTTGGCTTGAGAACCATGCTGATGGATGCCTTTTTGAAACAGAATTTCAAATTTTGTAGGTGAATTGTTTGGTCTGCACCAGAATAGAAGGCATCCATTGTCTCCTTTTAGCTGTCAGACCTTGGTTCTATGAGTTTTAATTAGCTAGTACTCGGCATCTATTTCCTCATGATCAGTGCCATCAAGGAAGTGTGGTAGATATAATTCTGGATCATAGTTTTAAACTGATCAGATAACAAGATCTTCTCAGCAGGTGATTTCTAAATTAAATATCTTGTACATACTTTTTGAAAGCCCAAGAATAGCTAACTAAGAGGGGATGAATTGATTATTTAACAACTTTTTTCAAAAATAATCGCAAACTCAAACAAATAACAAATAAATTAATTGCACAAATAAAATAAGTAAAAGGGAAGAGAATGCCCAAACGATGTAGTTATGGAGGTTCGATCCAATCAACGATCTACGTATCCCGTTATCAAGCTCTCCATCACAAACAATGTCTTTTTCACCATATTTGATTGACTTATAGCACAATTCAACCCTTACAACGTTTTCAATGACTTACAAATAAGGAGCACCGATCTTTTTACAACGTTGAGCTTTACGGGGCCTCAACACGACCCACAATTAAACAACAAAAAAAATATTACAAGTAAAAGTTTCTCTCTTAATAAATGATATGATCTATTAAGTATCAAGAGAGAGGTAGGCTAACATTTTAATAAATAACAATGAGTATAGCTCAAGTATTAGTTATCGAAATACTTTAATGAGATAAAAGATTTTCACAAATTTGATCAATCAAAATTTTTTTCAAGAAATAAATATTTTGATCTTTGTAAGATTAAAAACAAAGTAGTTGAGATCTATAGAGGCTTCACTTAAATGCTCAAAGAAGGTTATTGCAAATGAGGAAGTGAAGTGGTATTTATTGCACTTAAATGGACAAAAAATCTGTTCATTCGGACGTCCAATTGGGGTCCAGACGTATTAAAAATTAGTCGTTTAAGTCAGAAGCAGAACGATAAAAAAAGTGACCGTTGGTCATCCGGATGTCCAAATGGGCAGAGATGACCCCTGACATTTTTCCTTCGTGATGAATTTGATCTAAGTAGTTTCTTGAAGGACTTTCTCACTTATTTTGTAAAGATAAGTATTTTTGTAGATATTTGATCGTTAAGCCGAAATACTTACCTTTTTAAAATTTAATTTTTATGCAAATATCTTTTGTAACATGAATTTGTTCTTGTTAAGCTATAGTCAATACTAAGAATCGAAGTGTTTTACCTTTACATATAAATTCAAAGTATCTACATCTAATGTCTTGAAATTTGATGATCGATCTTCTCTCCAATGTGATTTTTGACGTGAAGATTCAATTTTCGTCTCTATGTTCGTCAATCGCCAATTTTGTTTCCATGTTGATCTTCAAGCGCCAATTTCATTTGTCAATGTGCACGTTTCTTGATCTTGATTCTCGTGTCTTCATTTTTGTCAATTTTGCAATAATCACTATCAGCACTCAAATTCAATTTGTTAGAAGTAAACGTAATTTGTTTGTGATAATCAAAACGAGAAGTCAACCATTTAGGTTAACAATTTTATGATAGGGTCATGAACTCAAGTACTACGTGCTTCTAATTTTCAAGAAGAGAGATTGATCTTTCATTCCCCATGTTGCCATGTCGTGCTCTAAAATGAAGGCTGTCTAATTAAAAAACTAAGTGGGTTTAGTTGCTCTACAATTATGGGTCATATAGTCACTAATTTTTCTGTTATTCTACTCTCATTGGTGATACAATGTCTTGTTGGATAGCATAAGAAAATGGTCTCGTAGACTTGTCTTGTCATTTTTCATATATACGAGAATCTTACAAGAAAAATGGTGTTGACATCAGGTCTGTATCTGGGTATACCTCTGGATAGATGACAACAGTGCTGTGGAATTTCTTGGCAAGATATTGATTGCAGGTTAATCTCATTCTATTTATTTCTCATTTTCAATTTCCAGTTATGCAAGGTTGAAACTCTTCACTTTCTTAGTATTGCGGAAACTAGTTTTTTGGACTTGGCTAAGTTTGCTCATTTTCTTTGGACTTTACAGTGGTATCATTCATAGCTGCATTAGGTTTCTTGCTGTATGGCGGAAGGTGAATACTTGAAATTTGTCATACTGGTTTGCTTTTATTATCTTGAGCTATATTAATTATTCTAACTGATTTAAGGATACGAATTTGCATCCTTTTTCCCCCCTTATTGAGAGACAATTTGGTGCCCTTCCCTTGCTAGGTTATTTTTAATGCTGAGACGCTTTCCCATTGAGTCCAAAGGAAGGAGAAAGAAGCTTCACGAGGTTAATGCCTTACTAATAGTATTTTAAATAGTGCTAGATGCATAATCAGTATGCTATTGTACTTGTGTCTTGGGCTTGGTGTGTTTGAATATTTCACTACTTGTTTATATATATGACAAGTGTAATCTACACAGGTCCGTTGAAGATCTTATGATTCAACTCATTTTACTTATATTAGCAGTCTCGTTTATTACTAAATGAGTTTTGTACCCAAAGGGATGTTCAGGATTCGAAATAACCTCTCTTTTAACTTTTGAGGTTTATCTCTACTTCCCTTGCCTAGCAATGGGTGGGGAAAACTTATACATATTTTTATCCATCTCATCATTACCTCAACAGATAATTGGTGCAGCGGCAGTACTTGGATTTGGAGTGAGCAAATTTTCTCCATCTGATACAAAATATATAAAAACGTGATTAGCTGATTTATTTGGAGTGATGCTTTCCAAATCTGGTGACTAAAGTAGATAATACCTATCAGCTAGATGATGGATTCAAAATGGGAACTTCGTGGAAATTGATTGCCATGCTATAAATTCTCATTTTTAGCCATGTGAAGAACATTTACAGGTCTAGGAACTCCATCAGCTTGAGTGTAGTCATCTGCTTTGAAAATGAAACAATAATTTATGAAATGTACCCTTCCATCACTTTTGTCTATATCCTCATTCTTGTAAACTAATCTGATTGGAACTTATTATTTTAGGTCGGATCTGTGACAGCTATATGCTTCATTTGTTTCCTAATAAGGTGCTTTGTGGTAAGGTCAAAATTTCCTTTCTTTATTACATTTATGCAAGTTAGTGGCTGTTTAAAATTTGACATTAATGAGTTGAATAGATTTGATCATTTTGCTCATCTCTGGTTGTATCAATGGTGTTAATAGAATCTCCGTGCTTCTGCAAGTATAGAAAGCTCTTTTTTCTTAGTCATTATGCATCATTCACGTAACGAATGCATTTGTTTTTATTGTTATTGCTCCCAGAAGAAAGGGGAAGGGAGCTGGGATGAAGCCAATATCTCCCTTCCCTCATCCATATAAAGTGTGTGAATCATCTTGTTCTCTCCTTTAGAATGACATCCTTTTAGTCCCGTAGTTTTCATGGTTTCCATGTTTTGAGCATAATTCTGAGACAATCATCACCTTTAGAATGACATCCTTTTAGTCCGTCTTGGGCTTGGTGTGTTTGAATATTTCACTACTTGTTTATATATATGACAAGTGTAATCTACACAGGTCCGTTGAAGATCTTATGATTCAACTCATTTTACTTATATTAGCAGTCTCGTTTATTACTAAATGAGTTTTGTACCCAAAGGGATGTTCAGGATTCGAAATAACCTCTCTTTTAACTTTTGAGGTTTATCTCTACTTCCCTTGCCTAGCAATGGGTGGGGAAAACTTATACATATTTTTATCCATCTCATCATTACCTCAACAGATAATTGGTGCAGCGGCAGTACTTGGATTTGGAGTGAGCAAATTTTCTCCATCTGATACAAAATATATAAAAACGTGATTAGCTGATTTATTTGGAGTGATGCTTTCCAAATCTGGTGACTAAAGTAGATAATACCTATCAGCTAGATGATGGATTCAAAATGGGAACTTCGTGGAAATTGATTGCCATGCTATAAATTCTCATTTTTAGCCATGTGAAGAACATTTACAGGTCTAGGAACTCCATCAGCTTGAGTGTAGTCATCTGCTTTGAAAATGAAACAATAATTTATGAAATGTACCCTTCCATCACTTTTGTCTATATCCTCATTCTTGTAAACTAATCTGATTGGAACTTATTATTTTAGGTCGGATCTGTGACAGCTATATGCTTCATTTGTTTCCTAATAAGGTGCTTTGTGGTAAGGTCAAAATTTCCTTTCTTTATTACATTTATGCAAGTTAGTGGCTGTTTAAAATTTGACATTAATGAGTTGAATAGATTTGATCATTTTGCTCATCTCTGGTTGTATCAATGGTGTTAATAGAATCTCCGTGCTTCTGCAAGTATAGAAAGCTCTTTTTTCTTAGTCATTATGCATCATTCACGTAACGAATGCATTTGTTTTTATTGTTATTGCTCCCAGAAGAAAGGGGAAGGGAGCTGGGATGAAGCCAATATCTCCCTTCCCTCATCCATATAAAGTGTGTGAATCATCTTGTTCTCTCCTTTAGAATGACATCCTTTTAGTCCTTCGTTTTCATAGTTTTCTTGTTTCGAGCATAATTCTGTGACCCTGTGTGGTAATGCAGTTTTTAAGTAACGGTTGTTTGCCTAATACAAAATCTAAAATCCAAGGTTGTCTGGTTATTCCGTACCTTCATGCAGGAACTCAGATTTAAGAAATAAAGGAAATTATTATTAACTACCTATAAAGGACAAGACTTGTCCAATAGCCTTAATGGCAAGCCCAAACATATTTTTTGGAATTACCAATGTCTCCATTATTGGGATTTTGATATTGAGAAATGAAATGCACATTTGGGACTCCCATTCCCACATACCAAACTCAATATACGTGCAAAATCATGTATATGATTGATTAGATTTTGTGCGGCTGCAATGAAAAATATGTATATAATTACAAGGGCATTGTGAGGGAGGAAATGTCACTCATTGCTTTCCTCTAGATGCTGTACATTTTACATCAACAGAACATTTTATCTGTTACTTGTGTTCTCTACAGGTTGAGCTATCTGCTTTTGATTCAGACGCATCACTAGATGTATTGGACCATCCAGTTCTGAATTTAATCTATTACACGGTACACAACTTTGTACCTTGTTTTCTTTTTTTCGCCAATTGTTTTGACATATTTATTACGAAACATTTCTTCTATGAAACAGTTGGATGAGATTCTCCCTTCAGCTCTTGTGTTGTACATCTTGCGTAAGCTGCCTCAAAAAAAAGTATCAGCCCAGTACCACCAGATCCATTAGTAGGGCAAGCATTGTTGGTTGAGTTACTATTTTCTTGGTTCCCACGGTTCTAGTGTTGGAAGTTTAGTAGAATCGAGCCGAAAAAGGAAAAGAAAGAAGCAAAAGCCTGGAAAACTATCCTTGTGTATTATATTTTTGTGGGAGTGGTGTCTACAACTAGGTTTTGATTTATTGAACTCAAGATACTGCATGTTAATGACAATTAGAAAATGTAAAAATAAGGAGGAGATGAAATGAAGCGTGGTATGTGATTGTAAATCTCCTTAAAATAGAATTCGTCTCTGCACTGATGTTAATAGGATCAAATGAATGCATGTCTTTCATGATGCAACATCTCTTCCAAAATTAATATTGCACAATAGGAATTCTTTCGAGCAAATCTATATTGATCGTACTTTTCCAAATCAGATGATGTTGAACACTGTAACTTGAAAATTACTTTGATGGAATTTGCTGAAAGAAAGAATTAATATTTGAAATTGATTTGAAGTGATCAAAATAGAATGAGGAGGGTCCAATTTATAAATTTCAATGTATATTTTTTAATTGTTACATCTTTTGGTACAAATTCGTTTTAATCATTATTGGACATGATAGATGGTCGCAATCACACCACAGTTGAAGCTCATGACTCTTCGTACTGCATATTGCACTTCAAGAGTCACACCTAATTATTGAAGACTAATTTCAGTTCATGCATTTTAATTGTAACATTGAGGGTATTAGATTTTTGTTTCTTTCAGTAGTCCGTAGAACCTTTTGCATGTAAAATTAGATGCTGATGGCGCTATACTGCTTTTTTCATTCAAACAACGTTGGCAAATGTAGAAGGATTTATCTCTAACCAAACAGTTTACATACTATTGTTCTAGTATTGAAAAGATTCCTCATATATTCTTCCCCTCGCTCCTTTGATCTTAGACATCTCAACAATAGAAATCAAAACCAATAGAGTGAGGATTTTGAAAATATTTAGCAAAAATACGTGTATATTTTTATTAACATGATATAAAAATAAAATGACATAACATATCGACATTTTTTAGATTTAAAGCAAACTGGTCGTGATATTCAATAATTTAAGGAATTTCTTAAGAATTCATATATCTCATAATATTTACATGTTCAACCTAACGGTCTACCCGTAGGATTTAACAACCCTAAGGCCTTAAAATATTTCATGCCAAAATTTATATAAATATCAAGGAATAAGAATTTACCACTTTACACTATATATTCTTACTTTAATTGATATAAAAAAATTCTGAAAATATTTAAAACTGGACAGAATGTTTGTTATAAGAATGAAAATCTAATTTGTGAAATTTTGAATGTAGATGATGAAATAAAATAATACTCCCTTTTAATAAGTGTGTGTTAATGTGTGAAGATGCATAAGTAAACGAAAAAAACACTTCTCACATTTTATTTTATTTTTATATAATATCCCCTTGTATCAATTGTATGCTTACTAAATTAACTATCAATTCAAACATCCACATGTTAGGTTTGAAAATTCAATAGATTAATTAATCTATTCTTTATTTTAAATTAATCAATTAGACGGTTGACTGTGAGAATTAATATTCCAATCAATCAGTTAATTAAATAAATTTATTATATAAAATAATGATTGATTTATGTTTTCAAATTTCAAGAAACGTGCCGGAGTGATGTTTCATTTGATTATTAATTATAATTTTTTATTAATAAAATATAAAATTTAGAATACTTTTCTTTTTATCAAAATAATTCGAATATGGCAATTCCAAAATTATTTCTTCTTAAACTAATTTATGCTATTTATCACGAGTTATAAAAGGAGTATAATATCAATATTTTTTATTACTTCTTAAATACTTAAATATTCGATCCAAATAATTTACGATAAATTTTAAAAAGTACACGCAAGCAAAATATATAAAATCCCCCCATTGGTCACTGAACTTTGCCAAAATCCTCTAAGAGGTTACCGAACTTCACTTCGTCCTTAGGAGGTTACCGAACTTTGCCAAAATCCCCTAAGAGGTCACCGAACTTCACGTCATCCCTAGGAGGTCACTGAACTTTGCCAAAGTTCCCCAAGAGGTCACTCAACTTTTGCAAATTGGGACCCCATGCATAACAAGTTCAGTGATCTCCTAGGAATTTTTTGCAAAGTTCAGTGACCTCCTAGGGACGAAGTGAAGTTCAGTGACCTCCTAGGGGATTTTGTCAAAGTTCGGTGACCTCTTAGGGATGAAGTGAAGTTCAGTGACCTCCTAAGAAATTTTGGCAAAGTTCATTGACCATTTGGGGGATTTTCTCTATTTATGCAAATAAGTGGATCACGTTTATCACTTCATCTTTTGGACTTTAGTATAACGATAAGGCTGAACATAGACTATTTCATTTGCTAAATAACCAACATTAAATTTAGCCCATATGAAAATATATTTAAAATTCGAGGTGTCACAAAAACTCTAACTTTATTCAATTAGTTTATTTGCAATTAAAGTTGTTAATTGATAACATTGTTCTTGTAATGTAACATTGGAGGGAGTTGATTTTTGTTTCTTTCAGTAGTCCATAGAAGTTTTTGCACGTAAAATTAGATGCTGCTGGCACTATTCTGCTGTTTTCATTCAAACAACGTTGGCAAATGTAGAAGGATTTATTTTTAACCAAGTGATTTACATGCTATTGTTCTAGTATTAAATAGACTCCTCGTATATTCTTCCCCTCGCTCTTTTGATCTTAGACATCTCAACGTTAGAAATCAAAAGTAGGAGTTGAAGACAAGAAAAATGAGCTAATCCCACCAACATAAGAAGATCAATTTACATTTTACATTTCAGCACTGGACTTCTTAAGCTCAATCTGTATAGGTAATCCTTGATTGAACACTGGCATGGGGTTTCTGCCGAAGATATTATCTTTCAAAGAAAGCTTCCATGTAAATGCATTTACCAAGTTATGTATCATTGTCAGAGTTTCAATTCTTACAAATTCATAGCCAGGACACATTCTTGGTCCCCCTCCAAATGCCATAAAGCTATAAGGTGGAGGTTTTGTTGCTTGGCTTTCTAAGCGCAAAGGGTCAAATTTCGACGGTTCTGGGTAGATGTTTTCGTCCATGTGTGTCATGCATGAAGCCCAAATCACCTGTTATCATTTAAAACAAGTTCTCACGAGTTAAGTGGACTATATTACACTGAACACTATTAAAATCTGATCTCGTTATTGTCTAGTTTAGCATACCAAACATGATTCAAATATGGTCTCTGGTGTCATACCTGCCATCCTTTAGGAATTATATACTCTCCATATTCAATATCTTGGAGCACTGTCCTAAAGGTAAATAACACTGGCGGATTCATCCTTAGTGACTCGGTTGCTACTTTCCATGTGTACTTCATCTTGGCTAGATCATCCCATGACAGAAGCTCCTCAAGTGCCTTTCCCTTTGATATCTCCTCTTGCTCTGCCTCATAAAACATAGATCCATCTCATAATCTTCAAATATATTGCATTCAATTCTCTTGAACCATCTTGTCTAAAAGCTTATTATTCAACTTATAAAAAGCTCTGAAATTTGAAGAAAAAAAAAACGATTAATGTTAATTAGACCATACCTTTAAGGACATATTTATAAACAGTTTGGTCTTCTGCCAAAAGCTTGATCAAGAAAGTAAGGAGAACGGAAGTTGTGTCATGGCCTGCAATCATTACAACAACAATGTTGTCCACGATTTCTTCGTCCGACAGCACAGGCGAATTGCTAGATTGGTCTTTCATGCTAAGCAAGGACATAATGAGATCTTCATTAGAAGAAATGCCATTTATCTCCAATTTTTTCCTCTTCTCGTGTATAAGATCCATGATAATGCTTTTAATTTTCTCCCTTGCCTTTAGGCTTCTGTTGAAGGTTGTAAAAGGCAAATTTATTGGCACTGATAGCGCTCCTTCGATGGCATTTTCAAATAGTTTTACCAGTATGTCTCTTCTTGGTCCACGCTCAATTCCAAATAAGAGTGAACAAATTACATTGAAGGTCAACGTCTTCATAAGGGGCATTACCTGTTAAAATTTCATTCAATTTTTTTCCCAAATTCAGTAACAGCGTCTAGTATGAGATGGGATTTAACTATCAAATCCTAGCAAAAAAAGTTATAAGGAGGTCGAATGGCCTGTCATCAAGAATGCTGTTCGCTACCCTCCCATTCGTCAACATATATGAGCAAATTATTAACCTCTTTTTCATTCATTAATATTATCTAGTACTATCTAATCATACTTTATGCTAATCCAATAAACTCTAAATCGACCTAACATTGAAAATTTTCATTTATGGGGGGCATACCTTGATTTCATTGTTGCCATACCAATGGTTGTGGAGGTGCAATCTTATCTCCTCATCTATCCTCCCAACATATAGCTTCAACGTTTCTGGCTTCAAAAAAGAAACAAGTGCTGCTCTAACGCGCTTGTGATCATCTCCACTTAATTCCAATAAATTCTTCTCACCCATAATTCTTCTGATAGATGCAGGTTGCTTGTTTGCCAGTAGTTTTTCACTCCAAGTGTAAATGAATTTGTTTGCAGCAGGGCCATGGAGGAAAACTGTTGAAGTCCCAAAAAGGTTAAGTTTTGAAATGGGACCGTATTTTCTTACTCTTTCTCGAAACCACTCTTCACCCGTGTTGGCCTTCATGGCCCTTAATAAACCGAGGCTCTGTCCAATTATAGGTATCCCTAAAGAACCTGGGGGTATTCTTTTGAAAGATCTCCTGTATATCAGTAGAAAGAGAAGAGGAAGAAACAGAAGAAGGATCGTGACGGAAACTGCAGGTTCCATGATTGATACGCACACCAGTTCAGTCTTGTGTGGTAATTGAAAATGGTGGATGGAGAGGCAAAACCCAAAAATATAGGAGACTTTAGGCAAAAATTCACGCTCTTAACGATTTTCTAATTTATTTATTTTTCCCCAATAAATGATGGAAGGGGGGTTTGGACTTTTGCGTGCGGACAAGAAGCATCTCCTGAAGAACGAGCCGGTGGAGGGTGGAATCTGAGATTCTCAATGGTTTGTCAAAAATTAAGTGGACATATTTTTTATGAATTAAATAAACAATCATGTGATTCAGTGATTAGTCCCTGTTGAGTACATTAATGAAATTCAATTGCAGAAGAGAGAAGGGGGAAAAAAATGAAGGAAAAAAGTAACAACTGTGCCAAGAATCCTAAAATTAGTTAGAGACGCTTGTACAAAGGTTTAGGACATTCGAGTCTCCGAAATTCCAATTTCTTACAATAAATAATATAATAAATTACTCAATTCTAATTCAAGATTTTCTTTTATTTTGTTATACTTTTAAACAAACACATTTCATACGAATTTTATGAAACATATCTATGTCGTGCTCGTGGAAATTAATTATTTCAGCCCTGTATGAATAACATAAATCTAATTATTTTGTCACCAACAAAAATTTAATGGACCAGCGTAGCATAGGTATACATTTGGCAATATCCTAATCCCATTTACAATTTGTACAGGTAATCCAAAGGGATCTCCAATGGACAGGATTTTTATTTTTATTTTTTTCAAAAAATGTTTCCACGTAAATGCTACATCATTGTTAAGAGTATCAATTCTTGTAAATGGCATATAGGTATAAGGTGGTGAGCTTGTTGCTTGGCATTCTAAGCACAAGGGATCAAATTTCAACCATTTCAGAGTTTCGCTACTCTACTTCGATCTTCTTTCCCCCACATAGATATTGAATAGAACAAGCTCGCTTCATGATTTTGTAACATATCAAATAAGGGTTTGTTAGAAGAAAACTCCTATAGTGGACAACTATGGCCCCTTTAGGGTAGTAGTTAGTGATGCAAATGATCTGGTGAATCAAAATAAGTCATCCATGTGCATCATCATGAATGCAGCCCAAAAATTTGATATCATTCAGGTTACGATGGAGTATACAATATTGAAAAATATTAGAAGAATAATCAAATGTGGTCTCATTTTATACCTACATCCTTCTAGAATTATATATACTCCATATTCAATATCTTTGGGGATTGTCCTGAGGCCATAGAACACTTGACGATGTGACTTGGTGGCTACTCTCCATGTGTAACTCATCTCGGCTAAATATGTTCCATCTAAGGAGCTCCACAATTGTCTTTCCCCTCGATATCTCCTCTTGCTCTGGTTCACAAGACACAAATATAACTCGTACTCTTCTAATACATCCTATTAAATTTTGTCATTGCAATTTGTTGGACAACCCTGCTTAAAAGTTGAAACTTCAAAGAGAGAAGAAACAGTTATTCATCACTACAATATATAAAAGATGAGAGTCGATTACTATTCATAAGGCATCATCCTTACCTCATGGTGATGTCATATATATGTATATGAATTATTTAGTGTTCTAATTTTATTTATTTTTGAAACCTTTTGAAAGTCGAACCTACTGTAGTTTGGTTGAAATCCTTACCTCATGCATCCACGTGGTTGAAACCCCTTTTCTTTTTCTTTTTTTTTTCCTTTTTTTTTTTTTTTTTTTTTTTTGGGGTAAAAAATTTGATTTTTCTCACGAAAAGTTTCCATAGATTTTTCTAATTTCATTAAAAAAGGAAAGTTTTTTAAGTTTTCGAAACTTTTTCGGAGAGTTTCCGAAGAGTTTTGAATCCCGAAATAGATGGGAGTAGAAAATGGTATCCAAACATGGTTGAAACCCAACTTTAAAATATCTTGGAATTTGACACATTAAATTAAATTACATTACATTCCATTCCATTTTTCTCTCTCCTATTTTCAATTACACACTCTTCCATAAAATAATATTACACGTAAATCAAAAATTTTTCCTTCTTTTTCAACCACTTATTTTTCTAAAAAATACTATTTCCCCATTTTCATTTTCAGGTAATCGGGATCAAACAGGGGCTAATGCTTCACTCACGCAAATTTCAACGTCATTTTCATTTTCATTTGCATTTACATTTCATCCATTTACACTTCATTTGACGTAAATTTGAACATCATTTCCATTTGCATTCACATTTGTATTTGTATTTGCATTTTTTTTCATCTATCACAGATGCTCTCTGTCTCACTCTACAAAATGGAAACATTATTTTTTGCTCTCTCGATCTTTCTTCTCCCTCCTATACAGACATGGCGAGTTACGGCGATCGTCTTAGTTGGATTCGTGGGGAGAATTTTTTTTATTTTTTGCTGATTAGATAGAATTTTTAGATTATATATTTGATAATTCATATTATTAACAAACATCTTTGATATCTTAGCTAATTAGCCCTTCTACTATTGAATTGAAGATCTTGTGTATGAAACTCCTTAAGAGCAATATAATTTATAATTTTTTATTTCAACAATTTTTATAAAAACAAATGTAAGAAAGGTGATCTACCTACCACATTCCTTAAATATATTAGCCACTTTATCATCATGGCACTTATTGAGTTTTAGCACATAATGTAATAAAATAATATATGTTCAATTTTACTACAAGTAGAAACATTTTAACCGATGTTTTGTACCTCTTTTTTATTTTCTATTTCTTTCCTTTTCTTTTCTTTTCTTTTCTTTCCTTTCCTTTTCTTTTCTACCCCTCTAATCAATTGATTTGAGAATTTGGTCAATTAATGTTTGATGAATTTGTAGGAAATTTGATTTTAGTGTCATAAGGAATCTTTCAACAAAACTTTTTTAATTAATATAAGGTTCTACTTTTCGTTTCCAAAAAATCGATTGCGAAAAAGTAGAATCATACAAGCATATAAAACTAATATAAGCACATAAATAATTTCAATTTTGTTAATAAAATGATGCTTGTTTAATTAATTTTAATGGTGAACTAAATATTGGCATTTTATTAATATATATTGCCTATTTAATTAAAAATAAATTAGGGCATTTTACAAATTATGGAACGATTTTTTCACCCAAAATGAAAGTTCGTACCTAATTCTAGTTCAAGTGGTGTATCTAGTTATTCTAGTTCTAATCTATACGATTTTTTAAATATTATTTAATTAAATATTAATAAACAATCCTGCTATTACGGACATTGGCCGTCGATAGTAAACTTTCAACGCTCGCGATCCACCCTAATTGAACTCGACCCCTGAATTCGTCCTTACATACATACACATTTATATCTCATGGTAATAGAATTTTCTCTCTCTCTCTCTTTTTTATGATAATTGTTATCCGTATGATGAAGATTTTTTTAATGGGAACCGTTTGTTACAAACTTTGGTTTTTTATTTCTGTATTTCTCTCCTTTGTGATGCCAAATAAAAATTCTGTGTTTGTGAATCAGTGCAAGTTTATATTTATGCAGGGATGTATTGCCTAGATCTATAAGTTTTGTGAGGAAAAATAGGGTTGTAAGGATTGTTATGGCCATTAATAGGATCAGTTCCCATGATAATGGGAATTCCAAGAACAATTTCTTTTTTAAAGGATCATTCTACTCGTGAGATAGTTGATTCTTGCACGCGATAGGTATTTTGGGTGTCCTCCTGCTTCTAAAGCAATTATTTTGACTGCGAGTGGCAAAGATGTATAATTAATTATAGGAGAATTTGTGGAGCGTGCCACGAGTGTTCAATCTTAAAAGTAGTACATATTAATTTATTTGAATTTAGTCTTCAACATAACCTTCGTGTGGGCTGAATTTTTTTTTATCAAAATGTTTAATACGAGAACATCTTTTTCTAAATAGGTGAGAGGCTGAGAGCAGACTTGGATTCACAACCTTAGCTCTAATACTGTGTTAAATAGTTTCATCAATCTAAAAGTTTAAACATTTAGAAGATGATACATTTCTTCGAATTTATGGGATGTTGGCCAACTATATACTTCCAAGAAAAGCTATCTTTAAGTAGCTATTAAGTTTAACCAGATATGCTATTAGTCTGTCAATTTTCTGATCTTTTTTTCCAGTTAATTTTGTTAATGACAGGGATGGGGCTTTGGACCTACGCATGGCAACGAGATACATCCGTTTAGAACAAGCTGGTAGGAGGTGACGTCTCCAAGTGGTTTGAGGTTGACCATCACAATAAACTGAAGTGGCATTATAATTTTCTTATCATCAGAACGTGATAACTGCTATGTTATGATTATTGTAATTGGGAATCCTGTAGATAAAATTAAAGTTATAAAAGTCAAAGAGTTAATGGGGAGGTTGTACAGGTCAATTAAGAGTCTTTAGATTTGAGTATGGAATAAGGAGATAAAGTCACATCATTAATGCTCGTTCAACGCCAAGGTTATGCTCAAGCGTCGAAAACAGAGAGCATAATAACGCCCACTTACAGCCAACTTTTCACTCGAGTGGCACTCTTTTTTTGGAAGACCCAAGATCGTGTTTTAAGCTCTGTTTTGAGTCCTAACCCCCCCCCCCCGGAAGTACCTTGTATATATATACTCAAGTCATATTCCGTCTAAAGGGTGATTGATCATTATATTCTTCCTAGAGAACATCTTTTGGAGATCCTATGTTAATTCTATACTTTGAAATCAATCAACCACACTTCGGAAAACATCAATCCAAATTCTCAAGACACCAAAACCAACAATTTCTGAGTTTTGAAGATTGAGAAAGGAGATCAAAATTATGGTAGAACAAGAACGAGGAGTTCTTGGTGATCCACTAGAGACAAACAATTTCAAAGATCGGGAGCTGGTGCAAGAGTACTCAGTCTGGGAGGGCCTTAGTGATTACAAGTAGGTCGGAGAATACTAGAAGTTAGTAGAGTTTGGACCTTACTGAAAGTTAATTTGTCTATAGTGAATTTTATTGACTATCCCTTTAATTGACAATTTTCATGTAAAATAAAGTCAAATGAACCCCAAAAGACACTTTTATTTCAACATTTTTCACATAAAAAATTATAGTAATCAAACACAATAATTTACAATTTTTAGGAAAATAATTTCTGGACAATTCAATTCTCTGAAATTCGTTTTCAATTCAATTCAATTTTATCTTTATAATCAAACGGATCTTTATAGTGAATTTTCGCACAAGTGGAAAAGGAAAAATAATTTTAACCAAAGTTGCAGAATTGTCGGTCCATTTTTTCTAGGGTTGCAATTCAGTTAGATAGCCCATTTTATTAAAATATTCTTCAATTTTTATACTGCTTGAATTATCAAAGAAGTGAGCCCATGTCGTTTTTTGCCAAAATCCTTTATTAGGCCCACCGGCTTTCTCAAGCAAGTTGGTACCTCGTGCGATGTTAACGTTGGGAAGATATTTTCGCTTCAAGTTGCGACTCGTTTGCCTATAATATAATTATTTAATTAGGCAACTTGCATGTCTTTATACGATTAAATATCTGCACATTAAAGTCGCGTTTGTCATCTCATAGAGCATTTTATTTTCCTCCATAAATTAATCAAACTTTGTTATAATCTAAACACTTCATATGGCATCATTTCCAAAAGTGATTAAGCCATTGTTTCGATTTGATAAAAAATAATTTTTATAAAAATTGATGGATTTATAGTTAAAAGTTTGAAAAAAGTAAAGTTAAAATAGTTTTTAAAAAATAGAATTTTGATAAAATAGAATCCAAACATGAGCTAAATTGTAGACTTGGTGGCTTATAAAAGATTGAATAGTATTGTGTTTCTATATGGACACTCCAGTGTTATATATTATGACGGATAAATTCCCCCAACGATTAGTATATTTTCACTTATTGTCGATTGGGTTAAGTACTTCAATTTTAATTGGTCAGATAATCACAATTTAATTTGATTTCAATTGGACAAGTTCGCTTTAACTCAAGTAATTATACTTTGATTTGATTTCGATTAAGGCACATTAGTCCAATTTCACCAATAGATATAGACATATTATCAATAAATGATGGTTATCACACATTGACAGTGAGTGTGGTGTTATCCTTTGTTCGGCATTTTCCGTAATCAAATGAAGCACGACGAATACATAATAATTAGTAAGAATGTCTAATAAAAGTTGCCATATTTCAAGCCGCCCTTGCGAGAACATGGATCCCTTGAGGCTTATCATCTGGGTCAATAAAGAATCCCCTCCTCACATAAGATCTAGGCACTGTTACTGCCAACACTCCATTTTCATACCCGGCAGAGATCCCATTAACATCGATCCGACCCGGAAGCCTGAATTTCCTACTGAAGCTCCGAATAGGCTCTGTTGATGCAGCCTCTGTTCTTATTATCAGGTATCTTGAATCCTCAACTTCCACTCGAATTTCCTCTTTCTTCACACCTGTTACAATCAAGAAAATCAACTCTCCAAATGAAATCCGGCACTACTAGTCAATTTATATATATAAATAAGGAACTTTGGATACCTGGGAGATCGGCAGAGAAGATGTGAGATTCGGGAGTTTCGGTCCAGTGGACGTGGTTTTGAGGGACGAAATGATAAGGAAATAGATGAGGGGAAGGAAGGAGAGAGTTCCAAGTAGAGGGATGGAAAGTTGAGAGCTCCATTGTTATGGAAAGAAAGAGAATGGTCAGATTGGCGGCCAAATGGGTAAATACAGAGAAGAATGTTACATGTACAGTGATTGGCAGCCTTAAAGTGGGACCCACAATTAAAATAATCACAGAATCCACGTTCTATGAGAGGGCTTTGAAAAAAGTGTGCAACAGTACTGCACATTTAGCATTTTAGAAATTTAGAGGCCGGGGGCAGATGATCGATTAGGACCTGTTGGTAGAAAATTAGAAATTAATATTTAGATTTTAATATTTTAGCTCATGCTTGATAGAAATTAATATTTAGATTTTAATTTTTAAGTTAACCACATATTTTATATAATCCACAACTTCTTAGCCACACGTTTGATCAATTCTTATTAAAATTATTAAAACTTTGATTTTAACCCTACCAGATTCGGACTTTAAGCTAAAAGTAATTTGGTTTATGTTGCTTGTATAGATTTATTTTGTTAGATTGGTGCCAGATAATTTGTGATTAGATGGATGAAAAATATTTTTGACACAACTACCAATGAAATCCTAATAAAAATGAATCTGACACGATTTTGACAAATTAATATGTACATGTAACATATCTCAATGAATTTTCTTAACCTTTCTTTGAGAGGTCTTAAAAATTTGTATATCACTCAAGTTATGGTACACGTATTCATAACGATGTTCATCCCATCACATGGATAGGGACATATTTCGAATAAAATATAATTTATTCGAAATGAATTTGATGAATAACATTATGCACATCACATTATATACCGATAGTATATTATCTCTCTCCATCCACACACTGTTCAATTCATTCCCTTTTCTAACCCGCACACTTCAAACCCTATGTTCCTGTCCTGTCAAAAAATGATGCAATCAACGACAACCATGGCCTCACCACCTCAATACCAACAACCACAAGCCCCTCGACAGTGGATGACACAACTGGAACAGTACCAAGTTTACAAATCGCAACAGCCGCCGGCAGGGGCTGGTTATTACTACCAGCTAGCACCCTCACAGGCTCTGGCTTCCACCGCCCCACCCCAGCAGCCACTGGCTCAGCGGTATGCGGCTGGAAACGCCGCTCAACCTCCTGCGGATGACTGGATCCGCAGCCTCTGGATGGGATATCAGTCCTGGATGGATGATCAGTACATCCTCAACATTTTTGCCTCCACAGGCGAGGTAACATAAGAATACATGCATATGATGCATAGGTATGATGTCATTATTAATTGTTATTTTTTCATGCTTAATTTATCGATTATATTGTTACCACGTGTTGGATTGGAATGTTTTGAATTCTCTTCAGATGTTCAGTTCAGATTTATATACATATGCAGCTGTTTTTTCTTGCCTTCTTTAAACTGGTGGGGTGGATACACTAATTAGATCTGTAATGTATGTTCAGTTGATGCTTCTGCATCTTTTTAACTTATGCATCTCAAGAGTGAGATACGTGAACATCTTCTGTATTTCATGCAAGCCACCAGTAATTGAGAAAATTGGGTTTGTGGTAAAATAGAGGTTTAAACAGGTATGATGGAGTAACTTGGGAAAAAGTTATTACATTTTACAAATGATTAGGTTCTTGCAGGCTGGATGCTGGTCGCAGCTGCCGGACATGGTACATAATTAGTGGAGTTTTCTGGCTAATTGCATTTGTGTGTGGAACATTCCGACGAAATGGGTTACATGGGTGGGTTGAGAAATAACGAGGTAGTGGGCTTAGTTGTAGGAATTAAATTGGGAAGACCACATAAGTAATTCATTTAAAAATCACATTTCAAAACTAACGAAGTTCTAAAAATATTTCAAAAGTAAGGTAATAATTAAATTTATTAAATATTTAATTATTATATAATATAATTAATCTACTTATTCTATCTCACCTTCAACCCATTCAACCATCACATTAAACCATTCTCATTCTCTCTCCATCCCACCTCACCCCCGTCAACTTTTGGCGACGGCTCCGGCAGCTCCTCCGGCGACGGCTCAGGTGACTTCCGAGGACAATTCGTACGACTTTCTGGCGATGGCTCCGGTGACTTATCCTGTTCCGGCAACTATTCCAGTGACCAATCATTTGCCATTGACATATGACTAATTGCATTAAATATGTGACCTGTGCACATTGTCATCTATGATCGATTTTATTGAATTTGTGACCTAATCAGGTGAGATGAATATGCATATGATCAATTTTAAAATTATGAAAAAATTTTGAAATTTCAAAAATCAAATTTAGTTATGAAATAATTAATCAAAAAAATATTTTTATAATTAAATATATTAAATTCACAATTTTTTTCTTGGTAATAACATGTGACATGTGTACATTATGACATATAAAATATGATTTTCAACTTGTGATTTGTTACTTGTGACTCGTAATATAAAATGTGGCTTATAAATTTGATCATTGACTTCTATAAAATGACATGTGACCTGTTAATATTGATCTGTCACCCATTTATACCGATTTGTGATTTATATGAAATGACTGTGACTTGTGAACTCAAACATGTGGCCTTAATTGCGAATTGTGACCCGTAACGTATGAACTGTGACATTATGTGTTCACGACCAAATTTTTTTTTGGTGTGGCTGTCTGTGATCATGTTAGTCTAATTTGTAACTATATATAGCCAAGTCACATACAGTCACAGTTAATACAAATCTGGTCACAGGCAATCACAATGAAAATAGATTTGATCACTCACCACCATTCCCAACATCGGCAACCAAACGTACACTACCTCACCAGAAACACATGCAATGCAAGCGACGAAACCATTGGCACTGCACCGCGCCACACCACCATCAATATAACCTAATAGCATCACCACAGACGCCAGCACTGGCAGCACCATAACCAAACCACCACCACCAAATTGAACAAAAATCGCCCCAACCGTCATATCCACTGCCACTGCCACCAACAAAAATCAATCACCACCATATCCAACAAAACCATCGCCTCAAAGTCAAAACCATCCCAAACCACCATAAGCAGCATCAAAACCACCACCTCACCCTCAGCGGATTCACTACCACCGTCAACATCCCACCATCACAGCACCCCCATCACCCAAGCATGAAAACCACCACAAAGAAGATCTACTACACTGTTGCTACTGAAAACCACAGCGGGTAAAAATACCCCAAGCTGCTACATAGTGATGCCGGAGATGACGCCACCGCTCTCAGATCTTCAAACACGAGGATGAAGCCACCGTTCACTTCTTTTGTGTGTGTTTGCATTTGAGTGTGGCAAACAGGGTATGCGTTCAACAAATTGGTAGAGTCAAGTCCACATCGTACTGCTGTTCGTCGACGATGTGATGTTGTGACCGCGCCGGCGATGGCGTCGCCTTCGTGTGGTTCGTGGATAGAGAGAGAGGTTAGAGAGAAAGAAGAGGATGAGGATGAGGGTAAAAAATGAATTCAGTTTTGGGATACCGCATCGTGCAGCTATTCGTTGATGGTGTGATGTTGTGGTTGCGCCGACGACAACGTCGCCTCCAATGTGGTTCATGGGTAAAGAGAAAGAGTAGGGTGAAGATGAGGGTTAGGGATAAATGGGATTGGGAATGGGGTTGGGGGGAGAGGGTGGGGTTAGGTTAAATTAGATTTTATTAAATCTAATTATTAAAATCTAATTATCACCTGATTTTTGAAATGAAATTTAAACTCCTTGTTTTTTGAAAATTAGTCTTTAAATATAGGTTTTCAGGTAATTTTCCCAATTAAAGGGAAATTTAGCTTGGTTTGGTGTTAAATAGGGGTTTACCTTTCAATGGGCTAAGTTTACTTCTATTTGGGCTGGAATTGAGTTAGGAGACAGTAGTTACTGAACAACATTGTCAATTGGAGGGGTCTACATCGCGA